ACCTCGAGAAACGAACCCAAAGGCTCTTTTAAGAGCCACCCACTTTTGCTTTCAAAAGAGCTGTGTTGCTTTGCTGTGTTTGTGTTTGCTCCTGCTATGTTTTGTTTTTAATAAGCCTTCTCGTGTTCCCGCTCTCCGCCTCGCCACCCCCATCCCCCTTTTTCATGTCGGGCTGCAGCTTCTAAGCGGCTTTACTTAAGAAAAACGCCAAAACCCCGGTTAAGGCAATAACACCCTCCCCCAAGAAAATAATCCTTTGTTTCCTCGTGACCAGTTTGTTTGACGGACAGGGCAGTGTTTGTGGAGCAGGCGCTTGATCACTTTTCAGCGGGCGGCGCTGCCGGCAGCCCTAGCCCAGACCATGTCCAGCGCCGATCGGGTTAAGCGCCCGCGCCATTTCCAAAAGCCCGCGCGGACGCCGATTGGCTCCGTCCGCCACCTTCCTTGCTCGGCAGAGCCCGCGCTCCGCTCCCGGGACGCTCGTCCCAGCAAAGCACACAACCCCCCCAGCCCCGGGAAAGTAACAAGGGAGCTCTCGCCGTCGGCGGCTCACGACCACAGCGGAGACCGCCCGGCCGCGACTGAGCTCTCCGGCAGAACCGGCCCAGCGCGGCTATACGAAAGACACATCCCAACCCACCCACCACGCACGCACCCTAAACCACACACAACCACTAGGGCCCCTTCAACCCCCCTGGATGCACGATCCAGTGTCTCAAGCTCCTTCTCGAGGCTGTGGGTGGCTCTGAAAAGAGCCTTTGGGTTCGCTTCTGGGCTCGGGACGCTTTCGCCGCCTGCTTTACTTGCTCTTGGCTTTGTGGCTTTCAGTCTTCTTGGGCAGCAGCACGGCCTGGATGTTGGGCAGCACGCCGCCCTGCGCGATCGTCACCTTGCCCAGCAGCTTGTTGAGCTCCTCGTCGTTGCGGATGGCGAGCTGCAGGTGGCGGGGGATGATGCGCGTCTTCTTGTTGTCGCGGGCCGCGTTGCCCGCCAGCTCCAGGATCTCGGCCG